AAGCCATCACTATGGCACCCATAGTTTCTTTTTTTTCTCTTTTTTTTTAGTGATTAGTTCTTTTTTTTTTTTTAAAGATTTTATTTATTTATTCATGAGAGACAGAGAGAGAGGCAGAGGGAGAAGCAGGCTCCCCGCTGAGCAGGGAGCCCGATGTGGGACTCGATCCTAGGACCCTGGGATCATGACGACCTGAGCCGAAGGCAGACGCTTAACCATCTGAGCCACCCAGGCGCCCTAGTGATTAGTTCTTAAACTTAACAGCTGACTTTTCTCAAGGGGCAAGGCGTTTAGAGTCTTTGTGCGTTTCCTTTTAGAAAATTTCAATGGAGGGGAGCCTGGGTGGCTCAGTCGGTTAAGGTCATGATCTTGGGGTCCTGGGATGGAGCCCCGCATCCTCCCTGCTCAGTGAGGGGCCTGCTTCTCCCTCACCCGCTGCCCCTCCCCCTGCTCATTCTCTCTCTCTAGCTCGCTTCCACTCTCTTTCTCTCAAATAAATAAAATCTTTAAAAAAATTTCAATGGAATCTTGGTACAGGAGTAATTGTGACAGCTTAAGAGGTTATGTGCATCCTTCTAAATTTAATGATTTGTTGCTCTGAAAGTCAAACAAGTGAGTCGAACTCTAAATGCCCTCATGCATCACAGGTTCTTAGTCCTGAGAGTTAAGGAAAGGTTTGAGCAGAAAGAAGTGGTGATGGATGTTACTGTCGATTATTCCAGCAGTTCAGCATTATTACAAATTGCTTCCAATAGCTGATGTGGAGAGCAAAGTTCTATGAAAGCAATATTCAACATGCACAGCATACTTTATTCCGTGAGGTTGTCTTTTGGGCCTAGATCTTCTGCTAATTCTACTTGACGCTACAGCCACAAACTGGTAAAACTGAGCAGAGGACATGGCTAGATGACCCCAAATAAAACTGACAGCATTTTCCCATGAGGCACAGTTGTATATGCCGTTAGGTTATATGGTATTGAGGACTTGAGAGTAAAGCAACTGGCTGATGGAACATAAATCTGGCTATATTTAGCAACTACGCTTCTATAATTCATTTGGATTAACATAACATGAACGCAAGAGTATATCACTTCAGGTAAACATAGTGTATCATTTCAGGGACATTTGGGAGGTGACCTGAAAAACCTCACCTACTACTTCCATGACAAAGTAGGTTTCAAACTCCAGATCGATGGAGAAATGAACTTTGGAAGGCTCATCAGTGACTGAAGGCTAACTCTACCCTTTATCCCACCCCACGTAGCTGCCCACCTACAACAGCAACTTTGCCTTGGAGGTCGCGTTGAATGTTTAAGGAGACTTAAACATTAGCTTACTATTTAATGTGACCGAGACATTGGTATCTCCTGCAGGTATGCTGCTCCGACAACCCTTGAGATGCAAGAGAGAAGCATAGAGGTTTTATTAAGAAGTGCAGGGAAGCAGAGATGGCTGTTACTTGGGAAGTCATGCATAGCAACTGCATAGCGTTAATTAAACTAAACTATGTTAGCCCTCTTCTGACTTCTCTAGTACCTACAAATAATTAAGCCATCTCAAATTCTCATTTGCATTGTTTTAAAGATTCTATTTATTTATTTTGAGGGAGAGAGAGAGCGCACAAGCAGGGGGATGGGGAGAGGCAGAGGCAGAGGGAGAAGCAGGCTCCCCACTGAGCAAGGAGCCCGAGGCAAGGCTCGATCCCAGGACCCCAGGATCATGACCTGAGCTGAAGGCAGATGCCCAACCGACTGAGCCACCCAGGCGCCCCTTGTTTGCATTATTTTAAAGGAGATGCACCACAGCGTCCTAGTTGCTAACCACTAACTCCCCTTACCCAATTCCTGTAGCTCCGCCCCCTTTCATTGCAGGATGACCACCTACTCCTCTATTTCTTCCACCAGTCTGGGAGCTCCTTGAAAGCAGGGCTGGTATCTTCTTTGACTTTGTATCTTGGCTCACAATAAGCACCCACCAAACGTGTGTTGAATAAATAAACTCTGATGGAGGCAAGTAGGGAAAGTGAACATCTTTAAACACAAGGCAGACTAAATAGTTGTCTCCTGTGCTTTTAAAAATGCATATTCTATTAGAGAAAGCTGTGAACAAAACAGTCACGACAAAATAATGTTCCTGCATTCTTCACATGCAATTGGCCTATTAGCATGCTTTAGCTATCTACTCTTGTTTAATGCTTCAAGATACTACAAAAACTACTCAAGATGTTTGCAGCCTGTCCTTTGAATTTAGCTGAAAGTCAAACAGAAAGGTTTTTTTTTTTTTCCAGAAACAGTTTTTACTTGTTACAATTTTGACAATCAAGTAGCACATTTCACCTTTCCAATAGTACACATTAGGCACAAATCGTGCTTTGACAAACCTGCAATTTATAGGTAAAAGTAACATTTGGAAATAAATGTAAATTGCCCCAAACTAAATTTAGCTATACTTAAATGTTTTATGAAAATTTCCAATAAACACAAAAAAGAAAATAGTACAATAAACACTCATAAACCCACCACCCAGACTGTACATTGATCAGGATTTCCCTGCAACCTGCTTCATCTCTTCTCCCTTTTCTGTCACTTTCCTGAATTATTTTAAAGCAAACCCAGACATCTCATGATTTTGCCCTACATAGCTCTCTTAAGAAATGAGTTCATTTTCTGGAAATACCTCTATTCTATTCTCGAATCCGGCATAAGCTAGATTCTAATCGATCTTTTTTTTCAAGTACCAATATCTATGAGTCACTTAAACCCCAAAGGGTGCCCAATCATGTGTCATTTCCTGGAGGAATATCAAATACTTCCATTTAAAGTAAACGTTTCTTTCTTCTTTTTGTACTTAATAAAAAAAAAAGGAGATAAGACCTTAAAGTAATGGCTATTTAAAAATAAGTTAGTAACTTTTCCAATAAAGGAAACATTCAATTCAATTTAGTCAGACTGAAGGCATTCTTTACATTCTTACCAGTCAAGAGTTTTACAGATATTTCACATATGTCCTAATCATATTCTAAAAGCCCCTTTCTCTGTGATGAATACCATATCAAAGCCAAAGATAAAACAACAAAGTGACACCTCTCCTTCTCCCACCAAAAGCCAAGCTTGTATTAACTCCTTGGATTGAAACAGCACACTCTCCTTTACAAAGGTCTAAGCCTGTCTATATTTCCGAAGTAAACATTGACACTTTCCCCAAATATCTGAATAATTCATGAAAAAATACATTTGCGGGGTGCCTGGGTGGCTCAGTCGTTAAGCGTCTGCCTTGGGCTCAGGTCATGATCCTGGGGTCCGGATCGAGCCCCACATCGGGCTCCCTGCTCGGCGGGGAGCCTGCTTCTCCCTCTCCCCCTCCCCCTGCTTGTGTTCCCTCTCTCACTCTCTCTCTCTCTGTCAAATAAACAAATAAAAATCTTAAAAAAAAGAAAAAAAAGAAACAAATTAGACTGTCCCCAACACTGAGGGAGGATTATAAGAAACAAAAAAGAAGGTTCAAAGGATATGGAATCCTAAAACAATTCTGATAAGGCTATTTCTACAGAGTAATGAGATTTAAAAAATCTTGCAGCCAAGAATTCACCTGCTGTTTTCTCGTAATCAATCTTGTATCAGACTGGGTAGTACTCTTTGTTACAGCAGGTAGCATCTATGGCCAGTTAACAGATTGCATTTTTTTTTTCATACACACACAGAAAAGTGTGTTAGATTCAGGCCTATCCATTTTTTTTTCTACTTGGAATTCTGATGCGATTGTGAACAGTCACTTTGGCTGGATGGGGGCGGTCATTATTCTTCCCAAGGCAAGCTATAACTTACTAAACGCCTTCACAGACAATGCCGGCCATGAATGTATGGGAGTAGAGATGTACTCCTTACTTTTCATTAATGAGATTGCAACACAGGTCCAAGAGTTAAGTCTGATTTAAATAACAAATTATGATCTAACTTTATACCTTTTAATCAAGGAGATACCAAATAGTAGTTTGCCTCTTTAAGCCCGTGTTGACTCATGTGAGTACATGCATCAATGATCAGTTCTCACCCTGTTTTCTTACTAGCTTCTACTGATTTGACCTGAGCAATGAAATTTGGAATGTAAATACTATAAACTGCTTCCATCACTGCTAAATTCTAAGACACATTCAATGAGGTTTAAGGAAAAACCAAATGGCGTGCTATGTCTTCCCATCTAATGCTGATACTAGAACGTAACGTGGGAAGGCAGAACGGGCTGCACTGTCCAAAGGCACAGAAGATCCATGAAGAAGGCAATAAAGCCAAGCCAATGGGGCAAAGGTAAAACATCATCTAATCATCATCTAACATTTTCAGGGGTCACACACCCCTCTGAGAATATGGTGAAAGCTCCAAATCCTCTCCTCAGAAAAATATGATACACAATACAATAACAACACAAAATCTGTTCAAAATCTTCAGGAGCCACAGCAGCCCCCCGCCCCCCCCCCCCCATTAAGGACTGGTACCCTAGACTAAAAACCTTTGACCATAGTAGACAGATGTAATTAGAAATAATAGTTTAAAGTGTAGCTTCTAAAACTTTATCCCAGGGACGCCTGGGTGGCTCAGTCATTAAGCGTCTGCCTTCAGCTCGGGTCATGATCCCAGGGTACTGGGATTGAGCCCCGAATCGGGCTCCCTGCTTGGTAGGAAGCCTGCTTCTCCCTCTCCCACTCCCCTGCTTGTGTTCCCTCTCTCGCTGTGTGTCTCTCTCTCGTCAAATAAATAAATAAAATCTTTAAAAAATAAATAAATAAAACTTTATCCCGTTGATTTTAACTACCTTGCCCTAAGATTAATGATTAACCATTCATGTAATTTTTTAGAGAATTAACCTTCATTAGGGCCAAAGATGGCTTTAGTATAGTTAAAGCTATAAAAAAATACTTACCAACTTTTGCAAAGGCCTCTTTGAGTTCATCAAGCTCATCTTTGGAAATCTGAGTGGTAGCCATCTCCTCCATTTAAAGATCTAAGGAGGAAACCAAAAAGGTTTAAGACTGAAAGATTTTTGTGATGATTATAAGTATTCCTGTGAAATTCTCATCTCAGAGATAATTTAAACAGAACTGCGAACTGCTAAAACCATCTCAATACGTTCCCATATTTATAGCTAACGCCATAATAAAGAAAACAAACACATGAGAAGTCATTATTTACCAAAAGTTATTCAGAAAAAAAATATAGCTCTGGATCGTCCTTTCAAGGACAAATTCTTACAAAGGAAGAACCAAGGTACTTAGCAATGACAGGAAAGAGATACATAATAGAAATCTGTGGTTTTTCATGTTAAAACTGAAAGTCCAAATTTTGTGACCAAAATTTAAGGGAATATGTAACTGCTCTATTAAGCCCTATCTCTCTTTTTCTATCTTACTGGCTACTTCCATTTCTTCCAGCTTTATTGAGATATAATTGACATATAATAGTGTGTAAGTTTAAGATGTATAACATGATGATTTGATATACTAGTATATCATGAAATGATTTACTACAATAAGGTTAGTTAGCACATCCATCACCTCACATTACCATTTTTTCCCATTAAGTCACTTAAAAATCATTCAGTGTGAAGGGGCGCCTGGGCGGCTCAGTCAGTTAAACGTCTGCCCTCAGCTCAGGTCATGATCTCGGGGTCCTGAGATCGAGCCCCAGGGGCTCCCTGCTCAACGGGGAGCCTGCTTCTTCCTCTCCACCACTTGTGCTCTCTCGTGTTCTCTCTCTCAAATAATAAATAAAATCTTAAAAAAAAAAAGAATACAATATTCTTGATTTTGCCTCTTGGCCTACAACATTTATGATCTGGACCTTTACAGAAAAACTTTACTGAGCCCTGCAATAGAGAAAGGAGGTCTGTTTCACAATGGGTAATCCCCAAATACAAACTCATCAACAATTTCTGGACAAAAAGGCATGAAAATGATTATGCATTCTCTGGGTTTGGTTGGGTTTTTGTTTTGTTTATTTTTTTTGGCTTTGTCTTTTTCTCAATCTTTTTTGAGGACTTTACTTTTATAGAACACTTTTAGGTTCACAGCAAAACTGAGCAGGAAGTACCGAGATTTTGGCCTCACACACCCCCTGCCCTCACATGCACAGCCAACCCCGTTATCAACATCCTCCTTTGCTACGATCGAGGAATCTACACTGATACATCATTCTCACCAAAGTCCATGGTTTACCTTAGAGTTCATTCTATGGGTTTGGACAACTACATGATGACATGGATCTACCGTTACAGTATCAAACAGGATAGTTTCACGGCCTTAAATGTGTTCCTCTTTCAAAAAGTACTCTATATGTTAAATTTCACGATCTATACGAAACACAAACTCTTTGAGATTGCGTAGTTACCCCTTTTAGATATTTTTGTTTTTAAAAAAAACTAGTCACCAACTCATCAAGAGAGAGCTGGGCCACACCTGTCTTTCTCACAGCCATAGTTGTTCTCTCTGAAACTTGTCACAGTCCCAGGCACACAGTAAGGCACTCGATATAATAGTCCTTTACTAAATTCATCCATTCAACGACTGTGTGCCAAGCTACGTTAGATAAATTCATATTTGTATTAATTCCCTGGACCCTGACAACAGCCTTAGGAGGTAAATATTCCCCTCTTTTTTCTTATAAGATAACTTAGGTTCAGAGGGACCATGAAACTGGAATTCAAACTCAGCTTTCTCAAATCCCCGGGACGTTTTAAATCGACCATATGATACGGTAATTAGCTATGTTTCCACCACAATGCAATACACATTTCTAATGACTGGTATTTTCAAAAATTAAGTAAAAAGACCTTTATTTACTTATTTATTTTTAACCATTTTATTTTTTTTTTAAAGAGTTTTTTTTTTTTTTTAAAGATTTTATTTATTTATTT